TTGACTGCATCCCTCGGAGGGTACTTTGGGTGGTACTTTGGTAATATGGGGTACCAGGCCCTCTAATACGGGCTGTTAGGTCCCTGTATGACCGTTGTCAGAGCTTGGTCCGCATTGCAGGCAGTAAGTCGAGCTTGTTCCCAGTGAGAGTTGGCAAAGACTGCCCTTTGTCACCAATTCTGTTCATAACCTTTATGGACAGGATTTCTAGGCACAGCCAAGTTGCTGAGGGAATCTGTTTGATGGCCTGAGGATTGAATATCTGCTTTTTGCAGATGATGTGGTCCTGTTGGCTTCCTCAAAATGCGATCTCCAGCTTTCGCTGTTGCAGTTCGCTCTAGCATCTAGGCTGCCATGTAGGCTGCCAGTGTATCGCAGGGCAACACAGAGACACACAGGACAAATAACCAAGCACACACACACAGTCACATCTGAGGATGATTTAGACAGACCAATTAACCTGACAGCCCTATTTTTGGACTATGGTAGGAAGCCAGAGTACCCGGAGATAACCCACGCGTGCTGGGATGCGAACCCAAGACCTTTTTGCTGCAAGGCAACAGCGCTAACCACGCTAACCACTGCGCCACTGTGCGGCTCTAAAAAAGGCTAGCACACCCAAAAGACAAGATATCAGCAGGACATAAATGCGGAGTCATATACGAAATCAGCACACAAACAATAGAGAAAAAAGTGTGAGAAAGAAACAAGTCAAAGATGCACAAGAGCAGCAAAACAAGAAGCAGAATGTGCAATAAAGAAATCAGCTGCAAAAACAACCCACTGCACCAGGAGAAACCATATAATGGACTGGGACAGAACACGGATCATAAACATCGAACAACAAAAATACAAAAGATGGATTAAGGAAGCTATAGCAATAAAGAGACATGGACACACTACCATGAACAGAGACAATTGGGTCTACACTTTCGATCACGCATGGGGCTGTGTCATTGGCGAGGGGAGCATGGTCAGCAGAGGGCAACACTGTCCTCTGGTGACCGCGGATAAACGGAGTCGATAGTGATGCCGCAACCATCGGAAAAGCTCTGAGGATGGCTACAGCGTTAGCCAAAACGTCAACAAAAACAAGGTAAAACAAAACTTTTGCTGTGTTGGAAAAAACTAGCCTGACCAGCCAGCCCCATGCTTCCTTATAAGAAGCAATGAGTCTGGTAACTCTCCTATTCAAATAACCCCACCCCCCGAGAATTCTAACCGAGCCAATGAGCGCTGAGCAACGCAGGTCACACACCACGAATCTGAGTTTCTCATAAACATGGCGTCTCAAGCAGAGTTCATTGCAGCTCTCTTTCCTACATTCTACATGACTTGAAAATGTTTTTGTTAAAACCACAACAAGTAGAAGCACTAAAAGCCTTGTAAAGAAAGATCTTTGCATCGTGGCCAGATGCCATTTTTGACTACAGCTAAAAAACTACAGAGTCTCGAGGTACAGTCGGTGTTTCTGCCTTTTTTCTGATTCATTGTTTTTGAGCTGTCTAACCCCGCCCAGGGGCGGCGTTAGGCATGGCTACTTGGGCTCAAGCCCCCGAATGTTTTATGAAAAGACTAATGCTTGTTACATGTGTATGTGCGCGCGCACGTGCGGGCGCACGTGTGCTAAGCCCCGGATCATTATCAGTCCTAAATCCGCCCCTGACCCCGCACCTCATGTGACTCTGTGTCTGTGAGTAACCAGACTAGTTCTCTGTGCAGAATTAAACAGAGGACGAGTCTGGCAGGCCAAGCTAGGAAAAAGCTGGTCTGGTGTCTTCCTGAGAAGAAAAATAGATAAATTTAGTAACTGTCTGTGGAGGTTCCTCCAGCCATTTCTCAGTGTTAGTATTAAATATTTTTTCCACATGCTGGTTTATTATTTCATTTTGTTGCAATATTTTAAGATGTTTACTAATGGGTGCACACATTTAGTAATTTATCTTATACATAGTTTATTTGATCATTAACTATTTTCATTTGTATTCTGCTGAGACTGGACAAACTGGCAGAGAGAGAGAGAGAGGGTGTAACTCCAGGCAGGAAGTGGAATATTCCATCTGGCTGCTGGAAGCAGGGGACTTGATCATGAAGAAACCAGAAACCAGAAGTTCTGAAGCTCTAATTGAGTTTACCAGATTTTGTTAGGAGGTATTAGTTAATCTTTTTTGTGTTAGTTATACTTTGTTGACTTAGTTTCCTAGGTTTATTTACTGTTTGTCTTAGGCCCTGTCCACACGTAGCCGGGGATCTGCCAAAACGTAGATATTTTTCTACGTTTTGGCCTGTCATCCATACGAAAACGGAGTTTTTTCACACGAAAACGGATCTTTGTAAAAACTCCGGCCAAAGTGAAGATCTGCGTTTTCTCCGTTTTGGGTGTCTGCGTGTGGACGGACAAAACCGGAGTTTTAAGGTCCGCAACGTCACTTTTCGCGACAAAAAAATGCTGACATCACGTGTGCGACCTGTGTTTACACTAGCCGGCATCATGGAAGCCCTCACAGCTGCGCTCTGTCACTACCCGATCCATCAATTGTCCAAGCGCTTTCTGCTTGTTTGTTTTTGCAAGCGGAATTACTGCTCCTTGTATTTATCCGGGTACGTGTGGACAGAGTTTTTTTTTAAACTCAGTGGTGTGGATGCACGTTTTTGGAGGGGCGGATATTCGTTTTTAAAAAAACCCGGCTACGTGTGGACTAGGCCTAAGTGTTTCCCCTGTCTCTCCCCTCCTTGTTGTCTGTAGGCTAGCCTTTGTGTATAAATTCCCCTGTGTGTCTCAGCTTTGGTTCTGGTCTTGTTACTTTTAGTTAAGGTTATTTTGTCTCGATTTTTGTTAACTATTCATGGAAATAAATTGAGAATATATTCTTTTTATACCATTGTCCTGGAGTTTTACTGCCCGGTCCCTGACACTGTCTATGAAACAAGGTTGAGTAGCAGCCACATGGAACAGGTCCAAACTAACTAACTCCAATTCTTATTTTATCAATTATATCAAAGGTGGAAGAGAAATTGGTTGCTATGCAACTGAAAGAACACCTATATAGTTGCCATATGCCTGTCCATCCAAAGCAAATTAGATTTTTTCATAATCACTCCACTGACGCAGCTCCTGATTATCGTCTTAGTTTCCTTGAACCTCAGATGAGAACTCAACACAGTAAATAATGGGGTGGGTCCTTTAGAACAGACATTTTGATTTTTATCCAATGTGTTGTGCTGGTTTGAAATCACATTTAACTCACAGGAAAAAGGTGGTACAAATGGGGAATGCACAAACAACATTCCTTCATCCCACAGAAGGGTTCCACATGGCTCCATACTGGTAACACTTCTGTTCCATTTCCAAATGGTTGTCCTCGTGTTACAATGTGCTGATGATACACATGCCAAAGCAAAGCTGTAAACTGCTGGTAAACTATCTACTGTTGTCTCAACGGGTTCAACAATCATGTCTTCATCTCATTACAAAAAACATACCATATTTTTTTACTCATCAAGGAGTTCCAACCATCACAAACTACAACTAGCATGCTAAAACCTGTCAAGTCTTCAAAAAAATCCACCATCGTCCTTTTGTGTGACCATGTATGAATGGATGTCCCTTTATGTGTGGGCTTGTAATAGGCTGGCTACCTGTCCAAGACCTTTTGTCTGATGACTGCAAGAGATAGACACCAGCTTCCCCACAACCTTACAGAATTTAGGTAATGAGTGAGTCAGGGTTGTGTCTTTGAGAGGCATACAACCATGGATTAAATTAGCAGCACACAGTGAATATTAGTTTCAAAGGCCCTATAAAGAAGATCTATGGGCATTAATTACCACAGCTCATGCCTCTAACAGCAGGAATAGAGTTTGAGCGAACAAACTCCCTGGTCTTTCACTGATTTTCCTCACCGCCACATTAAATCAAAAGCAGAAGAGAGATTCATTTGGGCTGTAAGTGGAGCAGAACTGATGGCAGGAGAAGGGGGCCGATGGTACGGGCACAAAAGGATGTCATCTTCGAGGTATTTTTAGAGAGTTAGGTGCACTGATAATCGGGTGCTGCTGCAGTCTGCCTGCAGGTTCCAAGCAGCAATAATAACTGCTCTCCATCTGCACAGTCACTCTCAGTGGTGTCCTCACGTGCAATGGGACAAGACTAACACACAGGAAAGCTATTCAAACACAGACATATATATATATATATATATATATATATATATATATATATATAGATATAGATATATATAGATATATATAGATAGATAGATAGATAGATAGATAGATAGATAGATAGATAGATAGATAGATAGATAGATAGATAGATAGATAGATAGATAGATAGATGATAGATAGATAGATAGATTATTATCATTATTATTATTGTTGTTGTTAATTATTATAGGAACCATTACAATTTGACGAAATGTGCTGGGCAATTTACAATTTACATTTAGTAAAACAGAAGTTAAACATTTAATAAGATCACTCCATTATTGACTTTAACAGACAATCTACAATTTTAACCCTCGCACTGTCTTTATGGGTGACCCCGTGAGGAAAGTTGACCATTGAGCAGGATTGATGGTTTATCCCTTGAGGTCCAGTACCCTGCCACATGGACCCAGTGGGAGGGTTAAAGAAAGAAAAAAAATTGAAATATTTTGCTGGACAACAATTTCATTAGCAACTGCGTCACCTATAGGCAAGACACACAAATATAGATGTTTTGATCTTGTTAGAGAAATAAAACCTTCATATTCTGTCCATGAATTTATCTTTAAGGACAACAAAATATGAAGAAAACACACAAAAAACAAACAAATAACTTGTTACTTACATAAAATAACAATTGAATATAATTAAGCGATAGATAGATAGATAGATAGATAGATAGATAGATAGATAGATAGATAGATAGATAGATAGATAGATAGATAGATAGATAGATAGATAGAGTGAGTAGATCATGCCAGCTCATCGTGCTAGCTGAGCATGACGTCAGAACTGCTAACGTGAACGCGCACGGCGGAAGTGACTGCCTGGTGTTTGCTAGCTGCCAGGTCTAATCATGTTGTCTTCACCTCCACATGCCGCACACCTCTCCTTGGTGTGTTTGCTCCTTCTAGTTGGCTTCGAAGCATCGCTCTCCGTTTCGGCCAAGCCGACGAGTCTGAAAGAAGTGACTGACGGCAACTGGGAGAAAATCCTAACGGGAGAATGGATGATTGAATTGTCGGTGCCCTGCTAACGATAAGAGCTAACGGCTAATTCGCATAGTTTAGTTTTTGTTTTCAGTTCATAAAAATGAGCATGAATCCTCGATTTGGGTTAAAAACTCATCTTTCTATCAATGGATGTCTTTACATTCCTTTTCAATTAATAAGTTTTGAACCTGTCTTAACTTTGAAACCAGCTGCTTTTTAGCTAGCATGATTAAAAATGCTATAAGTTAGCCAGTTTGCTGGTAAACCTACACAAGAACTCGGGGTTTTAAAAAGTATGTAATACCGCATAATGTGGGATGTATAAAACCTTTTCTCTTTTAGCTACGCACCCTGGTGTCCAGCATGCCAGCAGCTGCAGCCGGTGTGGAAGGAGTTTGCAGACTGGGGGGAGGACATGGGTGTCAACGTTGCTAAAGTAGATGTGACAGAACAGCCCGGTAGGCCTGATAGACCTCTCCAAACCTAGACACTCTAGTACCTAGATGTAAAACAAATTCAAGAGTCCTCATTCCTAAAACTCTGATTGCACTACTTGGGGATATCTGGTATGATGGTGACCATTTAAGTAAATACAGAGTCTGTGTTGTGTGTGACAGATTAAGACATGCTCATTTTCACCAGCTCTCTTTATTTTTATTGACTTTTGGTTGTAGACGTGCATCTCCTTAAAACTGAATTTAATGACAGTGAAACAGTTTCTTCCTGCACGCTGACACGCTACCCATTTCCTTCCTTTTAAGGTCTGAGCGGGCGATTCATCATAACCTCTCTTCCTACTATTTATCAGTAAGTTCTTAAATTAATTGTGGTTTTCATTTCTTTTACCTTTCCATGGGTGTGTTTTGTCTGTGTATATTTAGCGATCAGTGGTTTCACATTTTTAGATCAATGAATGTTGTTTTTAGCACACCACCTCTCAGAAATCATAGAAACAGAAAACAATAGGATCAATGGAACAAGTTTGTTTTTTGCTGTCAGAGGTTTGAATAAAGTAATGCATTGTTCTTGTGAAGGAGCTATGATGTTTTGCTGTTACCAGTTAAATAATTCCCACTCAAAGCTGTACTCCAAAACTTAACTTTTATCACATTTTATGTGATGTTGTTTTCAGATTTGAGTGAGGCTGATCTACTAATGACTAATTTTAAATGCTTATGCAAGAGGAAACCCAAATGAACAAAAATATGGCGGAATAAAATAAAAATGAGTTTTTCTGGTTGGACTGTTGGTGCATATTAGAAATCTTCCCACAAGTTTTGAAGCAACTCCTTGTTCCCCCACAGTGGGGTCTGCTCCTTTTTGCTTTGGAGGTGCTGAACTTGGCTAGAAATGAAGAGGAATGAGGGGACAAATGTTTGTATGTGGAAGGAGAGGATAACTTTAGTAGCCATGTGATGCATCCTTCTTGCTTTGCTTCCTGCTTCTACATGATGTGGAAAAACACAGTTGGAGATTTTTATTGAATACAGTAAAATGAAACTCTTCCTTGTAGTGAAAGCATTTATGTGTAATCCGATGCCAGTTACTACATTATTCTCGTAAAAAGCTCTCAAGTTGTTGGACTAAATGATGGAGTTACAGTAACTGTCCATATGCTTTCTTTCTGTTATTAATTTTGTTTTAGTTGTAAAGATGGCGTTTTTCGCAAGTACCATGGAGCTCGTACTAAAGATGACTTCCTCAGCTTTGTTGATGAACAGAAATGGACAGCAATAGAGCCGGTTTCATCTTGGTTGGGGCCTTCGTCCATTTTGTAAGTTTAATATGCTGACCATTTTTTGAAATCTATCTTGTCTGTCTCTGTCTGTCTGTCAAGAAAACATGGAAGAATCAGTAGCATCTTTGCATTAAAGCAGCTGGGTTTAATCTTCGGTGCTCTTTGGTCAGCAGTAGAAAAGGTTATTGTGTTGAGGCTTCATCTTGTTGTTACAGCTTGTCCGTTTTGTGCCACATCACTTGTTTTGTCTTCTTTTTCTTCTGGCAGAATGAATTCAATGTCTGCTTTGTTCAAGCTCTCCATGTTCATTCGGGTAAGTTGCACCCAGAGCAGGCATCCTTCTTTGTGTTTGAATCGTTTCAGGATAATATTAAAATATTCCAGAGTTTCATCGGGGTTTATATAAAGCTTTACGTGTGTTGATCTGGATTTAAAATGTAAAAACAAACCTGACTGTAACACTAGTGGCTCGGTTCATCCTGCCTGTAAAGCAGCTGAAACCCTTCCCTTTAACCACTGAAGCTTCCATGACACTCTTCTAAAACTCAGCAATCTGTAAAGTTCTGAGTGAATTACACAATTAAAACACGCATGATTAATAGAGATGATTTTTAGTAGTGATTTATCGCAGCCTCGTTAGTAATATGAATTTTAATGTCATTTGAGGACATGTGATGTATGAATGTGATGTTTTTCAGCGCTGTCATAACTACATGACAGAGCAGCTGGGGATCCCCGTTTGGGGGTCTTATGTCATCTTCGGTCTCGTCACCCTGTTAGCAGGCCTCGCTCTCGGTCTCGTAAGTCTTTTTCTGGAGCTTAGAGATTTTTTAGCTCAAAGTTGAGTTTCTTTAAGCACAAAATAACTAAAAACTATTCACATTTTATTCAGGTAATAATAATGTTCCTTTTTTTATAGTTACTGGTGTTCATCGCAGACTTTGTCTTCCCCTCAAGACGGTTTTCTTCTCCTGATTACTACCAGAGTGAGTTTGAGAAAATTCTTCTACCAAACCTTAAATGTTTATAGGGATAATAGGGCTGCAGCTGTCTGATATTTTAGTGCTCGAATATCTTATTGAATCATCTGTTGATTAATCCAGTATGTATGTGATAACTCGTCAGTCGGAGAAAACAAATTCTAATGAGTTTGTATTTGTCTAGTTTAGTCTCATGAGCTTGTCTGGTTCCTTGTTTCCCATCTGATGTTTTTAATTCATATTGAACAAATTTCACCTATGTTAGTAACATTATACGTAGCATTAAAGGTGGAATATGGAACACGAACACCAAAGCAACATATAGTGTGTGGAGGTTGTAGTTGCAACAATAGAACAAGGTTTCCAGCCGTCGGGAAACCAGTATATGTCACATTTTTCATTTGGGTCCATCTGTTGTAGGCGTCACCTAAACTCTGGTTTTAGATCTTTTCTGGTCGCTTCTCTTCTGAGAAGGATAATGACATCTTCATTTTCCACAGGGCCAGCAACCTGTAATGGTGCCCTCTTATTGGCTGGTAGATGTAAACATAAACCCAGTGCCATGCCCGTTTAAATAAATATTTGATTATTTTTTTTATTAAAATGAAGCTTTTAAAGGAAATACTGTACATTCATTCTGCACACGCGCGCGCGCGCACACACACACACACACACACACACACACAAAACAAGTCGTCAACTTTATTCATAAAGTGTGTGTAAACTGTGGAACCACTGGAGGAGATCATGCAAAGAAGGATTCTCCAGAGAATCAAGAAAATGATGGACAACCCTGAGCATTCTCTTCACAAGACTGTCCGACAACGGAAGAGTGTCTTCAGTCAGAGGCTTCTTCAGTTTCACTGCAACACTGACCGCTACTGGAGATCCTTCCTGCCAACAGTCATCGTAATTTACAATAACTCTTTGATGACTTGATTAATATTATTATTCTGAGCTACTACAGCAATCAATTACCCTCTGGGATTAATAAAGAATTTTTGAATTTGAATAAAGCACTTTACAACAGCATGAAAGCTGACCAAAGGGCTTAACGAGCCCAAACCAAAACAGTAAAAATAACAACTATTTCCTATAAAGGAAATAAGTTCAAGGCTCATTATAAAATAAATAAAGTCATGACATAAAAAGCAATAAAAAAAACTCAAACTGACTTAAAAGCGACTAAAAACGGATGAATTCTCACGCTGAATTAAAGACAACTGAGAACAGATGAGTCTTTTGAAGTGATTTATAATCTGACGGTGAGGAAGCCATCCTAATCTGAATTGGCAGTGTATTCCAAAACCTGGAGCTGCTACTGAGAAAGCTCTCTCACCCCTGAGCTTCCATTTCGTTCTCGGCACCTCCAGGAGCAGCTGGTCAGCTGACCTCAGTGACCGAGATGGGGAGTGAGCAACGAAAAGCTCACACAGATACTGCGGGGCAAGGCCATGTACAGCTTTAAAAGCCAATAAAAGCACCTTGTATTGAACCCTGAAATCAACAGGCAGCAAGTGCAGCGAAGCTAAAATTGGAGTGATGTGATCCCTCTTCCTTGAACCTGTCAATAGGCGTGCTGCTGCGTTTTGCACCATTTGAAGATGGGAGGTGAGACTGAGGGAGACCACGCGTTACAGTAGTCAAGGCGTGATGTAATAAGCAAGTGAATCACTCTCAAAATCATGAATTGAGAGCAGATGCTTAACCTTGGCAATCCTATCCTATCCTACATGGTAAAAACTAGATTTTGTTACAGCACTAGTTTGCTTTGTCCAAAGATAGGTCACTGTCAAGCCAGACTCCCAGATTGGTCGCTGCAGGTTTCAGAAATGGGGCCAGTGGATCAAGGCCAGCTGAACACGGCCCACTAGACACACTGGGACTAAAAAGCATGACCTCAGTATTGTCATTACTGAAGTGTAAAAAGAAATGCTTTACATCACAGGCGAGGTGCTGGAAATGCAGCCATGGCGCAGCGCCACCCCTGAGCCTACACTGCAATCATCCAATCTAAATTTAAATTCAAACATAGACACATTTGTAATTGTCATGTGCAATGAGTCAATACCCAGAAACTCGCCATGATCGACAAGTTTTAGCCTCTGCGTTTCGTCCACTTATCCAGGTCGGGGGGGTGGGGGGTGGCAGCAATTCCACGTTACTATTTCTAAACCAGTGATCAGTTTAAAGTTCCTTCCAAATCACGGTTCGTTGTTGCTTTAGTCATTTTCCTCACTAATAATCATTTTGCTTTCTTGTGTGTGATGGCACTTGTACAAGTCACACTTTCAGCATGTGGCCAGGTCACGAGTGCCCAGCAGCCAGCGACACAAACCCACATCTCATAGCTTTTAAAAACAAGTAACTTATGCAGAATTCACTAAAGCTTGTGTTTGTTTGAAGTTCTGATTACAAAGTAGATATCTTTCTATTCGGATCACAAAATAAGACTTATCATTTTCAGGTGCATTATGATGAAGTCTTAATTTTTATTAGGCAGTAGAACATCTTGAAAAGGTGTTGTTTATTTTGAGATCCCTGCGTTTACATGTAATAACTTTACCTGCCCGGAGACAGCATGCAGCTTTTGCCTGAATCACTTCTCAGGACTCAAATTAAGCTCTTTAATTATCTGTGGGGAGAAATGTCTAGTTATAGACTTAATAGATAATAAAACAAATCAGATGTTAATCCGTTTCATTTTGTTGTTTATTTTACAGAAAAACAGGTAATGGAGCAGGCCAGGTTCATCCAGCGTCAAGACGAGGACCAGGAGGCTGACGGGGAGGAAGATGATGATGATGATGACGACGACGAGGAAGAGCATGATGGAGAAAAGAATGATGTCTGGAGAAAGAGGAGGGGTTCTCCTGAGGGCCGCCCTGAACCAAAGGAGCAGGGATATGCTGATGAAGCTCTGAGGAAGAGGATGGTGGGGAGCCGTGAGGAGGAACAGGACACCTAGAGGGCCTCATGGCTCCTTTCTCTTGATCAGAGCACAGTGGAGCTGGAGGAGCCGTGGTCCTGATGCAGCAGTGTTACAAGAAATGAGTCAAAACTCTCCCCCTCCCCCTTTTTCTTCCCCTTGACCTCTTTTAACTCCCTGCTTCCTCTCCTCCCCTCCTTTGTTCTTCACAGGAGCGCTTTAGGCTCCTCCCACCGGTGTCTCCACCCGAGCCAAGGCTCCACCTGGAACATCAGAAACTTTCTTCTCACCTGTGGAAACAGGATGCTTGGCCGAGGTTTGATGAGGAAGTGCAGCACAGCAGAATTTTGTAACGCTGTTAATGCTATGCATCGTTTTGGTTTTTCCTAAAAAAAAGTGTTACAATTATAAATGGGGTTTGAGTTTTAGTACAAATACTGTAGGTAATTTTATTGTGTATAGAAAGCCTAAAAACAACGTTCTGCTTTCAGCGTTGAATAAAACCGGGAGGAATAAGCTTTTCAGAAGGTTTGTTTTACATACAAAACTTTCAGATTTTTTTATTTATGTTAAGAAAATTATCACTATTACTGTAACGGCGTGTTCACACTTGACAAGAGTATTTCAGTTCAAATAAACAAGTATGATGTTTAAATCTGAGTGGTCCTTAACCTGGAGTGCTTTAAAACACAGATTAAATAGGAATGCAGCTTTAACCAAAGACATTCAAATATCGCTCTTTCTGATATTATACCCGTTTCATTCTTCTAGTCAAATTCTTATTTCTCTGCAGCTTCCCTTCATTTGTTTATGCAACACTTAACGCTGTTGTTTCTTTTTAAATTTTACCTCCTTTCAGAGGTTTTTTTTCTACCTTGTAGCAAATACTTTCATGTTTCAATGATATAAAAGTGAGAACATCCAAACATCGGTTTAGGTTGTAACTGCATCACACTTATGTCCTTATAAATAACAAAAGTCAGGTGTGGACATGCCTCTGAGTCATCTGTAGCTGATTCAGAAAAGAATGGTACCTTTTTAAATAACGCAGAGTCATGTAATATTTTAACGTGCTGGAGCTTGATGACGTCACAGTTAAGAGAATATCATTAAACATCCCTCTTGCATGTCAAAGTCACTGATCACATATTTAGATTTTCATCAAACATTTTAGGACGACGACAGCGGAGATGAAATCTCTGCAGATGGTTGAGGGGCAGGAACCCCTCCCTCTCTGTTCAGATAACTATAAAATAACTCCAAATGTTTTTTTCTACAGATACTGTATGCTCTGGTTTGCATCCATCAGGATTTATGTATCTTTTTCTTTCTTTTTGATGAATGTTTACTGTGAGAGCTGAAACGCGCTGCAGACCATCTAAGACAGCAGGCTGGAATGAAACGAGACTTAAGAACTTAAAAAAAAATCGGGTATTTCCTTCTTGTCCTTTTAGCATATTTTAGAAGTTTAAAACATTAAACTTTTTGTAAATCTACGTGTGGTGTCATTTTTCTTCTCTGATCCGAGCGTCTGAAGAGCAATACTGATATTGATACAAGCTAAAGATATTTCCCATTTTGTATCTTCAGCCATCCTTAAGAAGCTTAAGATTTTTATTCAATAAAATAATTTCTTACGTTTTACATGATTAAAGTATGACTTCAATAAGAATGTATTTTGTTTTTTCCATCAGAAAATGTAAACAGAAAAGTTTATTTAATTGTTGCGATGTTACTAACGTGCCACCAGAGGGCGATGTTTGTCCCACAGACACCAAAGAAAAGCAAAAGAAGATAAGTTTGGTTTAAGTTCTGTAAATTAATCTAAAACAAGCTCAAGAGCAAAGATGCATTAACCCTTTTTTAACAATTTATTTCATTCATCTTTAGGTGTGAATGAAACAAATTTCAACAACTATTTTTGTAACATTTAATAATTTACAAATAATTTATTACGTGTCCACCTCAGTGGACAGTGGGCATTCTGAACATGAAATATGTTGGCTTGACTTACTGAAGTCCAAATGGAGGGGCTCAAATGCGATAAAGTCTTCAAAAGCTGTGCTTAATAGCAAAATAAATAAATAAAAAAGTTACCATCTGGAGTACCTGTCCACTGTAGTGACCAATATGCATCAAAGGGTTAAAACAAGCACAAACCACTGGAAACTGATGAGGAACCAAGTATAGAAATACAGAATTTCCAGCTTCAACAAAATGCCTTTGAGTGAGATTTTATTTAAAAAAAAATAATATAACACATCTCATCAATCATCACTTCTAGGAATATATTATATTGACTGAAGTGACAAAAGTGTAATTCTTTTGAAGGTGTGAATTAAAATGAACGCTAAAACATACCGACGGGCATGGTGGTGGTAGTGTGATGGTCTGGGGCTGCTTCACTGCTTCAGGGCCTGAAACACTTCCTGTTAAAGACGGAACCATGAATTCTACTCTGGCAGAAAATCCTGTCTGACCTTTGACCTTAAACAGGCTGCTTCTGCTGGAAACCCCTTCAATGTGGCTGAATTCAAAATCTTCTGGAAAGAACAGTGGAACAAAATTCCTCCACAGTGATGTGAGACTCATTACAAAGCTGCCATTCTTGATTAAAACAGCTGCTGCCAAGGACTTTGCAACAACATAAGCAAGGATCAAGTAGTTTTCTACATAAAGCAGGTTGGCTTAGATGATCACCATTTAAAACTACATGTTGTGTTTACACAGGTAATCTTTGTTACTGAAGGTTTTTAGCTGGTATGACATTTAAGTGTAAGGGGTGTTCAAACACATTACAGCACTACACAAAATCATCAGAAATGAACATATGACAGTCGAACTCTGCCAGCAGATGTCACTCTTGCACCAGTTTGTGTTCAAATGTCCTCTGAGCATCTAGCAGTATGAACACTGTCTCTGCAGCACACGCTTTAGGTAACAGGAAATGTACTTTGATTTGTAGTAGACAAAGCTACAGCTTATATTTCCTCTCATTTGTTCTCCCAATCCCTGGGATTGCAGCTTGAGTGGCGCTCTGCACACGCTCTACTTAACGGGGGTTAAACTGTCAGAGGGAGGAGTTGGATGAGATTCCCCTGCTGCTCTGGCAGTGATTCAGTACAGCATGGTCCTGGAGTCTATGGAAAACCCTGGACAGATGCTGATGCTGTTAGGTTCTTCAGCATCATGAAGTCACTACTTGATCATTTAGCTCCATTCTGTCCATTTGGTTTTCTGTAATCACTGCTCTGACTCCTCCTGCAAAGTTCCTGGGAAGTTCAGAATAATTTTCTCCCGGTTCATTTTGCTGAGTCAACCAGTTGTTTAGTTTTACAGAATGGAGCTGCCGAAAAGTTTAGTTTTCAAAGCAGAAGGAAGCTAAAGAGTAGATCTTGTTTTATTGTCGTTTGAGATCCATGCCGAAATATTCCCCAGTGCATGAACACTTGTGTGATTTTTTTGCAGATCAGACACTTATTTATTCTGTAGCCAAGATAAAAGATCCTCACCTCAGCAGCATTGTGGCAGAAAGAAAGCAGAACTTAGAAATAATGTAGTTGGGATATTAAACAGTAATGTTACAAAAGGAGAAAGAGCAGCCATGACAGCACTATCCAAAAATGAACACATCATAATTCTACTGGCAGACAAAGAGGGACCTACAGTGTTAATGGACAAAGAAAAATACAAGCAACAGATGGTTCAGATGCTAGAGGACAAAAATGCATACAAAACACTAAAGGATCTAACAGAGCATTAAGGAGAACATGAAAAAAATACTGAACCCACTACAAGAAAAAGGCAGAATAACAGAAAAAATGTATAAACACTGGATTCTCACAGCAGACGTAATACCAAGGATCTCTGGAACTCCAAAAATGCACAAAAGAATACCCCGCTTAGACCAGTAGTAGACAGCATAGGTACACCAACATACAATATGGCAAAAGAAATCAGCAAAATCAACAGCCACTGTTAGGTATGTAAAGAAAAACTTGGTTGCTCAGCCATATTGTAAAACTGGCTGGCTGGTCATATTGTAAGGAGAAACTGTCTTTACTCAGTTTTATTGTTCAGAAGACTCAAAGGTTGTTTTCATCGATAAACTGCCGATAATATCTGAGTGTCTGTGTTTCAGTTCAATGAGAAAACCAGTTTGACAATTAAAAGTTTTAATTCTTCAAATTAAACTAATGATTTTGAAATTGACAAACAGGAAATAAACAATCAACATTGGCAACTTTGTGGGACAATCTTTAACAGTTGATATGCTGTTCTTGCTCAAATAGACCTTCTAGTGAATTTATGAAGATTGAGAATGTTGTGAGTTGTGAGAGTGATATGATGTGATTATGGATGCGTGTGGGTGCAAAGTGTGGTGAGAATTGAACATGAGGTGATTTTGCTTCAGGAAGAAACAGGTGTCTGAGTGAAAAGTGATGGTTTGAATAAACTTAGGTTTAGTTGGAAAAGATGCATCCAAATGCTAAACACCGTGTTCTGTCTCACCGAACTCTTGTGGACCCTCTTTCGAATCCGGGCCGTGGAGGATGTTGTGGTTCATCCAGATGACACTCAACGGCTGACAGGGAAGACGTAGGTGTCGAACGGAACCGGTCCAGAGTTGCCCTCGGTACACGTTGATGGTAAAGCGTTTTGTCGACGCGCTTTCTTAAGTTAATTCACTCAGAAATCATAAGACTCGGTAATGAGTCTGCGTTAGAAGTTGCGATTCAGCTATTCTGCCTGGCTTGGCAGAAACAGCGTGAAAGGGGGGAAGAACGAGCCAACAGGCTCTGCCCCCCCTTTGGTTTTCAGGTCTGTTCTCTTTCGTTGTCCAACACGAACTGGAATCATAAGACTGAAACTTACCAAAAACCTTTCTCTTCTCAAAGCAAACGTGTGCGTCATCAAATGTGTCTGGAGTTTACTGTGGGAAGATGTGTGTGGGTGTGTGTGAATGTTTGTGTGCTTGAGTGTGTGTGAAGGTCAGTACCAAACATTCTCAACACTATCTAATTATGGATTCATTAAGCCATTATAATTACCCCAAAGCATAAGAACCATTCATTTGATTAAACACATTTATAATGAGCAAAATGATAATGGTTACTTTAACATTAAAATCAAGAAAAAGAAGTTTAAACTTTATGTTTTGACTTGGTCTGGGTACAACTCATGGAAACACATCTTCTGGTAGACTGCAGGTGGCTGATGTTATGGTTTCCTCCCAGACTCGCTGGCGTTCAGGTCTTAATCTGTGGGTGAAAGTTCTCAATGACCCAGCTTTGACCCAGCTGCGTCCAACACCACCATTGTGACAGAAAACCCATATTTCCTCACGTTACAGATCCCCCTTTTTGTGACGACATGGTGGTCAAGCAGAGGCCACCTGACGACACAACCTCAATAACGTGATGCACTCGTGAAGGTAGACATCCCAGATGAAGGCAGGAACGATGAAGCGTCACCACAGGTCTCGTGTAGAAGGGAGTCTATCCTGATCAGATGATTAAGGTCAAAACTGTTGCAATCATTGTAAAGTAATCCACTTAGGGAATCTTGAAAGCAGAGCTATTTCAATAGCAGTTAATTTCATCAGCAATAATGCCAAGGTATTCAAAGGATAAGGACCAACATTGCAAAAGCAGCACAGAACTGGCAAAAGAACTAAAACAGATTACAATAAAACACAATGACATACTAATCTCACACGACATCACATCCCTGTTCACAAAAACACCAACCCATAAAACCATCGACATAGTAGTAAACAGAATCAGACAGGACAACACTTTACACAAAACAACAAACATCACAACAGATGACATAGAACAACTGATAAAACTGGTAGCAAAATCCACTTACTTCACATATGACTAAACAATATGCAAACAACTGGAAGGCTTCGCCATGAATAATCCGTAATCAGCAACCCTTTGCAAGATTTTCATGGAGGACTTAGAACAAAACGCCATAACCAGTGCCCACCCCCCAAAATACAAAATAAAATTATGGAAAGGCAACGTAGACCACATACTAGAAATTATATCAAGAGGACAAACAGAGGCACTAACACAACACCTGAACAATAACCACAACACAGAAAACATCAAATTTATATATGAGGAAGAAATAGAAGGCAGCATAACCTTCATGGACACGAAAATCGTCGGACAAAAAGACAGGACTCTTAATATGAATTCTGGGCTTCTACAGCAATCAATTTCCCTCTGGGATTAATAAAGTATTTTTGAATTGAATTGAATTTGATATAAACACATACAGGAAACCAACACACAGACCAATATTTATTATGGACATCAGAACATCCTCTATACATAAAATGTCAGTGACCAGAACATTATACCACCGAGCAAATATAATATCAGAAGAACGAGACCGTAAACAAGAGAACCAACCTAAACGAACCTGCGGATACACGACATGGGCAATAAACAAAGGAAAACAACAAACAATGACAGAAAAAATA